TGCCTGCCTGCCTGCCTGCCTGCCTGCCTGCCTGCTTTCTTGCTTTCTTGCTTTCTTTCTTTCTTTCTTTCTTTCTTTCTTCTTTTTCTTTTTATCTTTCTCTTTTTTTCTTTACCTAATAATATTGTTTGCTCAACTGTTAGCATGGAGGCACATTTACACAGAATCCAGGACCAGAAACCTACTGTGTCATTGCTGAAAGAGTCAACCTTCGTGTCAATAACATCATCAAGTAAGGATGCTATCAAATACATGTGCATTACTTACGAAACGAAGGAACAGTAGATAAGCTATAATAATAATAAATAATAAATACTTTATTTAACGAGGGGGCACGTAATAGTATAAAAATACTAACAAACCTGTGGCCCTCAGTTATTTACGAGAAGTATTTTCAAAAATACCAGGCTCATATCAGGCTCTTAGTGTTTTCCCCCATATTTTATATGGTTGCCACGAATAATTTCATTTCATAAATTTTCTTCATAAATAACTCTTCATCTTCTATAATATTTCTTTGTTTCCTTCAGGGATGCCAAACATGATGTTGTCAAAGCCTCTTGGCTTATAGACTGCTTGGTGAGTACATTAAATTATCGAGAGAACATGAAGTAAGAGAAGGAATCTATTCATTGAAGAATACATGAAAACATCATCAAATAACGAGTACAGTGAATGTTCGTGCGTTTTCTATTGCGTTAGTATTCGGAAGAAGAAAAAGTCGCTGCCAGCCTTATAGCCCAGTATTTATCTTATTCAAACTCATTGCTATACAGAATCAAGTCAAACTACTTCCATGGTTACCTATACACATGATTCACCGCTCACCAACAACGGAAGAGAAATTTGCCATGCAGTATGACAGCTATGGTGACAGTTTTACCCAGGACGCCACGCAAGAATCGCTGAAAAAGGTCTTCGGCAGTTTTGAGAATCAGGTGATTTCTTTTAGGACATTAGGAAATAATACCAAAACATGATCATCATCAACATCAAGACTACTAGCGCCACCATCTTCTTAATCGTCATTGTCTAAAATCATCTTCATATTCATCACCATCAAATTACCACCAGCATAATTTATCATCGTTGTCGACATCATCGTCATTACCACCACCACCAATATCATCATCATCGTCGTCTTCAACATCGTCATCATCATCATCAGCACCATTACCACCACAACCAGCATCATCACCACCATCATCGTCGTCGTTATCACCACCATCATCATCGTCATCGTTATCATCAACATCATCTTCCTTTTCAACTCCTGATTGTGTCCATTGCCTCGTTGTCATCATATTTATTTCCTGCTTTAATAGCTCAGTATCATATATATCGTATTTTTCAACATTCAAATAGTCTTTACTCATTTTATGACAAAATCACATTACGCCTGTTATATATTGCCTTTATTCAGGAAAAGGCTACTATTACCACTGATGAAATTGCTGAAATAGAGCAACGCTATTTTCCAGATCAGTGTCCCCTTGGGTTATTTAGAGGCTCAAGGTAAGATTTTTGTTTTCCTTTCTTGCTTCTTTGCTTCCTCCCTTGCTTCCTCCCTATCTTCCTTCCTTTCTTCGTCCTTTTCTTCATCCCTTTCTTCGTCCCTTTCTTTGTCCCTTTCTTCGTGCCTTTCTTCGTGCCTTTCTTCGTCCTTTTCTTCGTGCCTTTCTTCGTCCTTTTCTTCGTTCCTTTCTTCGTGCCTTTCTTCGTGCCTTTCTTCGTGCCTTTCTTCGTGCCTTTCTTCGTTCCTTTCTTCGTGCCTTTCTTCGTTCCTTTGTTCGTCCCTTTCTTCGTTCCTTTCTTCGTTCCTTTCTTCGTCCCTTTCTTCGTCCCTTTCTTCGTTCCTTTTTTTTCCGTCCCTTTCTTCGTCCCTTTCTTCGTTCCTTTTTTTTCCGTCCCTTTCTTCGTCCCTTTCTTCGTTCCTTTGTTCGTCCCTTTCTTCGTTCCTTTCTTCGTCCCTTTCTTCGTCCCTTTCTTCAGATGTTCTGATAAATTCTCCTTATCCTCTCTTCAACTTTTAATTATTTTTCTCCTATACTTATCAACTCTTTTAGAACCCATAAAGAACTCTGCGCTAACCTATTCGAATTAAATTGATGTCATTTTGTATTGTCATAGAATATATTTGGACCAATTCAAATCATTGGATGACCCTAATACGGTAAGAAATGAATCATCAAGCTGCTTTCTAAGTTATAACCTGCTGACGTCGTTTGACGATGTCACTGTATTTGGTGGTGAAATGGTTTGCGCACGCGAGGTAGTTGCTGCTCTAGTTTAATTTTGTGTTTGTTTTTAGGCCATCAAGGACAGTAGTCTAGAGCTGACAGCTTTACAACTAAGATTTTATGGTGCTTCGATTATCAGTGAATTTGACGAAATTGTGACGCATGTCGTATTTGATGAAAGGTATGTTACGCATACATTGTTTCTGGACTACCTTCTGTACAGCTAGCTCAGGGGGTGCACAAATTCAGTCAACAAGAACAAAACATATGACATTGTTGTTGGCCGGGCTTGCGCAAAAGAATATATTTTCTTGGCTTACGAAGCTTCGCCCATATGTTTTACTAAGATGCAGCTATTTCAAAAACGGTTGGTGAAGGTTGCATGTTCCATACCAATCCCAAACTGCACTATGGGCAAAATTTTGTCTGCACATTTTTCCGGCATAATTTATTCTGAATTGTGCTTTGCTGTGCTGCACGGTTTGCCCAAGGATGGCTAGTGAAAATAGCTGAATTGTGCTTTGCTGTGCTGCACGGTTTGCCCAAGGATGGCTAGTGAAAATAGCTGAATTGTGCTTTGCTATCTAACCTGTTTTTTAAGAAGGTCACTATGCTGGGATGCCCATACCCCCCCGAACTTACTCTTCACTCTTGGTCCAGGACTTGCATTTTCAAGCTTAGTAAGCAACATGCAGCATGCAGCATACAACATACAAAAAACCTTTCACCAACCTTTTTTGAAACTATAGCTGTATATGTCAAAGCGTTTGTGTGCTACGTCTTGTTTGTCATTGTGATGTATTGAAGCGCGTTACCTACCATCTTTCGGACTATTAGTTTGAACAGATGACATCCAAAGTCATAAAAAATTTCACTAGGCTCCAAAGCCGTAATACTAAATACGATTTACACAGAGTATTTTTCATATAGGCCCTTTCTAGATCGAATTAGATTTTATTAGAATATTTTCTATTCTCGGGGAATTGAACTCTACATTTATGCAAAAATTGCGCATAAAGTTTCTGTTGTTTCATACACCAATATGACTGCCTTGTCACTGAGTGAAAACGCTCTATTATGGTGCTTTCTTCCGGACTGTAATGGTTCTACAGAGCCGCCTCGCCATAAGTAGTTTCACAAGACTACAGCACAGGGGAGCACATAATAGTCTTCATATTAAGATGTTTGATACAAATGATCACTGGTTGTTTGTGTGCAGGGATTTGACAAGATTACCCGAACTACGTCAAATAATGAGAAGCCGTCAGCAAAAGCACCATTTTGTAACTCAGGACTGGGTTACACAATCTATAGAGAAAGGCCAATTGTTGCAAGAACGACCATTTGCTCCAGTACCTTCTGTATAGTCTTTGAAAAGCATTTCCGATTCAAGAGCCGATTCTCGATGATGGTCACTGAACCATATGCCAGAAGAGCCATTGCATATTGCACGGTGACGGTACGGTATAATAAGTGGATCAATCAAAAAGCGCGGGCTTTCTTGGCACCTTATCATCAGTGCACTTGGAAACTATTTCAGAAAACACCGATCCCGCATTCACTGTTCTACCTCCCTAGTTACTGTTGCTACGTCGGACAAGCTAAAATGTGTTTTGATATACAGCATGACACCGGTTGCTGAAAATTGTAAACGTCTGTCTCAGATTCACATTCAAAGCCAGTATCGGTCTATTACAATGTATGTACTTCACGGAAATGCAAAATCTGCAAGGATTTGCGCCGTTGCGATCGTCTTTCAACCCTTACATCTTTTATGGTGTAAATAATTTACTGTCAAATCTTTTCCACTCTTGTTCTTAGTGATATACGTACGGTGTAGTTACGTCACTTATAATATGTATATATGATAAAAAAGAGGTACGACTGAAAATAAACATTATTTAGTAAATTCATACCTAAAAAGTATTTGTCCGAGATCGAAAAGGGGATATAGACAGCATGAAATAAAAGGAAAGCTGTTTACTGTATGATGGACAGGGTCCTGCGGCTTTGAGCATTTGATTAGCGCAGGGCGTAAGATGATTCCTATTATAACCACAGGTAGCCCAAGCATGGTTTCTGTGGTGTCCTGTTATAAGAAAATGTATTGGGGTTCATCAAAAATTTCAATAAAATCATTGAAACATGAAATAAAGCCTCGAAATTTTACCCGATCATTGAGAAATAGCACTTCTTTCGCTCTGTGTGGTTATTTTTTTAATTTAGCCCGTTTTAAGATTTTTTTCCCCACCAGTAAGAAATAAGAAATAATACTGGTGGGGAAAAAAGTGTGAATACAGGCAAATTTCATGGCTTAAAGACGCGAAGACTAATCTCTAATGCGACTTTCTCGGTTCTATAGGGATGTGAGAGAAGGGTCATGGCTAAAATTTGGCGCTGGAAAGAACATTCGAAGAAGTGCTATTACTCGATGATCGGGTAAAATTTCAAGGCTTTATTCACGTTTCAATGATTTTATTAAATTTTTTGATGAATCCCCATACATTTCCTTATAGCAGGACACCACAGAAACCAAGCTTGGGCTACCTGTGTAATAACATCTCACTTGTGCTGTAATTTGAATCACCGACGTTACCCTCGCTCTCGTGTTTGAGACATTTAAGACAATGCTTAAGATAACATAGTGTACGCAATATATACCCGTGAAACAAAGCCAAGGATGTAATGTCTAATTGCAGCCATTTTGTATATATTTATTTTAATAATGTTAGTCACCTGAAAAGCTACGAAGCTAAGACAGCAAGGATTATCGGGTGGATTGTTTCAACCACTTGATTATTGATGGACTTGAGATCTTTTACCAGTTACAGTCTCACCACTTTTGAGCATCCTCAAGCTGCAGTTTGTATAACAAGCTTTACTTGTTTGACTCGAAATGTTTCCCATGATCCTAAGCGATCGCAGCTGTTTAGGTTTTTGGTGACTATATCTTTATTGAAATAAATCATATAAAGGATATTTATCATAATTATTATGAGAGTGCATACCATATATCCGTGAACAACTTTGTAAGAAATTGCACACATTAGTAAGTTCAGTAGACCTCAATAAACCGTAGACCTACAAAACTTTGAACTAATTTGTGCAGTTTTGTTGATTTAATATTTCATGATACATGGTTTGCACTCTACTGGAGCAGAGCATTGGGAACAAAAGCAAATACGGCTACGCGTCCTTTGCCATGCATGAGTAAATTCGACTTAAAGAGTAAATTTGAATGAATTAAATAGTTACATTGTAATTAATGACTAAATACTAATGCTAAATAACTAGCAATTGTTTTACAGATTTATGGCGTGCACTCCGTTGAAAGTTTATCAACGACATACATCATCGAAATTTTACGATTTATTACAATGCCAAAAGATCACGACCGCAATAAATAACACTCTACTAACGAAGAAAACTGTGTTTGCAAGCTGTTTCATATTTAGAATACGACAGCTTCTTTCACTAGTCACAAGGTCAGAAATCGTCCTTCTAGAAGGTTGCCTATGAGTGTTCGACACTTTGTCGAAATTCTGAAATGTTTATCCGGATTCACAGTCTGGCTGGCATATGGAAAACGTGACAGTATAAATAATAGTGGCTCCAAAACCGGATTTTGAAACCACGCATGAATGAACTGGTCAATAGAATCCGCATGTTTTTTTTACCTATCCTTTAACAATCTTTTAAGCTTAGTTAAACTGTCGTTTTCATTTCCAAAATAAACGGAAAAATGACAACATCGTTTCTATTCAGTGTTTAAAGCTAGACGGGAAGATAAGCCAACATTTCTATAGTATGGACGAAACCCCCTACAAATAAGATGCTTATCACTTCCTTTTCTCGGGTAAAACTATTCCAATAATTCCCTATTTCTCCTTCAAACCTCCTCATGGGCGGATCCAGGCGAGTGGTGCAGGGGGAGGGGTGCAGAGGGTGGATCCAGGGGAGTGGTGCAGGGGGTGCGCACCCATTCCTGGTTCGATTTTGTGCCCCTAAACCAAAGATAACCAATACAAAATAATGTTTTTTTCCTTTGATTCTATGGGGTGCACCCCTCCCTGGGTTAACTTTGTGCGCAGCAGCACCCCTCCCTGAACAAAATCCTGGACCCGCAACTGCGTGTGACTCAAACATAATCTGCAAACACTTTGTTACGTTGCTTACCTCACACCATACGAATGTTATTGGATCATCAGAGAAGGAAAAGTCTTACTCCGGCCCACTTGGATACTTCCTTGTGTCAGATTTGACCAAGGAACTTTGATTATCTACTGTAATAGCCGAAAATACTCATAGATCTCATAAGCGGAAGTTAAAAGAATCCGTAGGTCATGGGGTATTTTAAAGATTCTTTCCAAGAACACACGGTAGATTTGCGGAATTACCTCGGTGGGATATTTCCTGGTATTTGTGATGAATGAACACCTTGTACACTAATTTATCCAGCACCTCCCCCCCTCATCCCCCCCCCCCCCTCCCGATTAACAATGATAAGGAAAGAGGTTCGTTTACTCGAATAGACAGACCTCTTTCTCTTGGGTGTAATTTTTTCCCATTCCATAGAGTATCCGATTCTTTCTTCTTTTAATGGTTGCGCATGAGAAGAAACATGAATGTGGGTACAACTCCAACAAAGAATCGTATTCTCAAGAAAATGACAAGTGGTCTGAAATAAGAAAACATTTTGATCAAGCTAAAGAGGATATTTTGGCAAACGATCACTTCCTAAACATATAATACATGGTACTGCTGACTCACAATCTTTTATATCATTTTTTATATCATTGTTTAGCGGAGGGGTTAATAAAAAGGGGGCCCCATTGGTGGCCCCCTCCTGCCTATACGCCCCTGCTGATCCCTATCTCGACACAATGCCGTACTACTAACAGAATCCTTTCGTACTTACTTTTGTTGGCCCATGAACACCATTACCAGATATCAAGAGGTAATCAGAACTTAACAGAGAAAACATATATCGAAATATATCTGATTTTTAGCTGTTATCACAGGAAAGGGAAGTAAGGGGGAGTACTGGGCCCGGTTGTACGAAGGGTGGTAGCGCTATCCGGCGGTTAAATCCTTATCCAGTGGATAGTCGATGCTGTTATCCAATACATTTATCCACTGTATAAGATTTATCCGTTGGATAGCGCTATTCAGGCTTCACACAACCGGGCCCTGATGTGAATGCGTGCAGAAACTGACAGTGGCTCACGATAAAATAAGTGCCAAATTCTACATGAAATAAAAAATCTTAGGAAACAAAAAAAGCAATTCAATTATTTAACGCTTTATCTCAGTTTAATATATGTTTCTTCCACAAAACTGGCCAGTTGAAGTTTTTATTATGTCTTTTCATAACACCGGAAGTAGTCTCATAACGTTCTTTTGTTCTGACCTTCGAACACTGGACCCGACTTACGGTTGCACGCTGGTCAAGATATATTTCTCGAGTCGAGATATCACTTGTGTCACAATGTCAAAAATGTGAATGAAAACTAATCTGATATTTAGTTTCGTAGCTATACGCATTGCCTTACTGTATAGAGTGTAACACATGTCGTAATCAGGAGTCTGGTGGGTAAAATTCGACTAAAAAACGACCAGATTGAATATCTAGTGTAATGGCCGCTTGCCATTTGCTACGAAGACAGTTCACTGTGGTGTTGCTGGCTGTAGTTGTTCTTGCTCTGGGATCCTCTTGCTTTGCAGGTAACGCTAAGTCATTATCCATAATTTAAGTACAGAAGACTTTCTTAATGCTAATTTTATAACAAGGCTAATACTATTCAAGTTTATCCTGTATAGTATGGTTTTCTTAAATGTAGAACTTGCCTATCATCTATGCTGCAAAATGCAGGAATCTGTCATTATTATTTGACATTCTTTTGGCTCATAAAAGTAAATTACCACTTTTATAGGATATGCAAAAGAGAATCAAAGTCAATCGGCAGTGTTCGTGTCATTAAACTTGAATAAAGCATATAAATCAACTTACGAATGATGCTGAATATTTTGTAAAATTATTTCTTAGCTTGCCAAAAAATTGGCTTATAAGCTTAATTTCTCCCTTTATGTTTTATTGATGTCGCGTTCTTTATTTGTGGAATATTTGAATTCTGCATATCGATACCATTATTATCGTAATGTTTGTTGAAATGAAGACAAAGTTTCACATAAGTTAATGTACTGAATGTAAAATTAAAGGCGAAGTATATTTCTAATATAAGCTTACTCCACACGTTATTACAGTTATACATTTACTATTTATTTAATGGCTCCATTCTAATATATATCCAGCTGTGTTCGGTAACTCCCACCATGTGGCTATCACATGGCTTCATTCTCTATTTTACAGCTATACATTCTGCTAAAACTAGTCCCTAGTATGTTATGAGCTTACTTGGCAAATTTTTTTTTCTATAGGCATTTGATCTGAATTTGTTTTGACCTCTTTGGTCAAGTCATATCTTGTCAACCTGACTCAAATAGACTTAAAGTTAAAGCTTGGTGTCAAGTTTTCAAAGATCACTATTTGTATAGAATTCTAGTATTAATTCGAAATTGAAAGTGTTGAAAGTTTATATGAATAATTGTCTATACATCATGACTTTACAAGTACTAGGCATGCATGCATGAGTACTGATATTACTCAGTTCTATATGTAGTAGTACTCTAGTTGTCATTCACAGCTTGCATAATTTGAAAGTAGTGAAAAACAAATTTCTATTAACTGTATCATTTATCCTCAAAGCCATAGCCACCAGTTTGACAGTAGTCCAGTTTTTTTAAACTAAGTTGGTCCTGTTCTTTTATTTGTAAAACTTTTGTAGAATTTATTTTTTATGAGATGAAAAAATGGTTTTAAAGGTAAAAAGTGGTGAGGTTAAAACTAGATCAACTGTACTGACCCTGATCCTGTACATGATATGTGTGAATCACAACACAACCCCACAATATTAGGTCTGCAGCTAGACTATCATGTCACAGCTAAATTATTTTTTGGTCTTGTGTTATCTTTAATTTTCAGTAATTCATGCAATTAATACAATACAATAGTAGTTTATTCAGGATGCAAATAATCAGTAACATACAATAAAATAGTAAGAGCGAAAGCAAAAGTAACACGCAGCAAAAAAATAGGAATAAATAAGCACCCCAAAAGGAAGTTTAGAGGTTAACCCTATGTAAAAAACTCCCTAAATTATTTTTCATGGTGTAAAATATAGATATCCTAGTTATCGTGTTGTTACAGTAGTCATAAAAATGAATAGTTTGTTTTCAGTTCAATGCTTTCATGACCATATTTATTTTCAAATCCTATAAATGAAAATTCGAAATTGTTGATCCAGAAAACCCAATCCACTGATCATAGAGTACATGCAAATATAAAATAAATTTATTTCACTATCCAAACAATAATTGTTTAACAAAATAAACAAATTTGTACAAGTAATTACAGAGGGAGATGGGGGGCACTGGTGTTGATGGGTGTGTTTATTTGCAAGACCAAAGTCCAGGTAGAATAAACCATTAGATAGATAAACCATTTGGCAAGGGGAGGATAATACTACATCTTCAACAGATAACATGAATAAGAAAGATAAACATTATGAGCAGATAATCTGTAAATAATTCATCTCTATTAACTATGATCTATTAAGTCAGATGTGACCACAGCTGTGGTATATCATTAAATGTATTTACGAGTGCTGTTTTACATTCTATGAATTTTATTTTAAATTAAAGTGACTTTGACTGTGAAAACCCACATAGGCTCCCTGTAACAGTGATCATTTGCAATCTTGTCAAAACAAGAAAATTGAGAATAATATAATGAAAACAAAATGACTAAAAATAACCTTATTTAATAACAGGCAGGGTCCTGAAACCATAAAAGATAAACATGTATTCAAAGTGAAAGTAATGTTTATGCATGTACATCTGTCTAAAAAATATGCAATATGAGTGGCGGATCTGCAAAGGGCATTGAAATGGCATGCAAGCATTGTGAGGCCCATTCAGATCAAAAGTAAATATCACATATTGCTTATGAAAAAATTTGAGATTGGAGTGTGTTTAACTGAGAAAATCCATGTACATGTATAAGTTGAAAGCAAATGAGAATGATTCTGAAACCAACTAGTCTAGATTTACAGACATACTAATCTTCTCTGGTTAAGTAATTTCTGTTTGTGTTATTTTGTTATTCATTATTCATGAGTTGATGACTATAAATAGAAGCTAGTCAAATTGTTTTTTTAAAAATGAGTTGGAATGCACACATTATGGAAAGACATAGTGTTACATGTAAATAGCACAAAATCCATTGTTCTGTAGTGATAAACAGTACTTTTTGGTGTTTTAATTAAAAGCACTTTACTGAATAGAATAGACATATCAGTCAGGCCCTGACAATTACTTTAAAATAGTTGTGTCAATTGACCTCTCTTACTTCCTGGGTTAGAGCATGATAGAGCAAGTACTTGTATTATGAATCTTTGGGGAAAGAAAATGAGGTCTGGCTAGTGAAAGATGCAGGGTAAATTGAATGGGATTGGCTGTTACCTAGAAATACAGTATACCACTTTTTCTTTATACTTTAAATTACTAATGTTTTAAAGCTCCAAAGGAATGTGGCTAGCCACCCAAGGCACCCCCTGGATTGACCACTGTTGGACTAGCACACTTTTTAATACTAGCATAGGGAGGGGGGAGTAGTGTGCCAACCCCCCCCCCCCCCCAACCCCAAAAAAACATTCTTGCTCTTGGCACCAAAATCTAATTTATTTATGCATAATTTGCATGGACTGCTATCTTGCTACGCCCCTGCAAATCGTTCTTGAGAAAGAAAGGGGATTGATGTTCCTATTAGTGGAACATATAGGAGTTAAATGACAAGGGGTTGCAAGTATTTTATGAAATAAAGTATAACTTTAATTTGTTTGATCGCCCTTTTGTTGTTAAAGCTTTATTTTATTACACTGCCTTTTTTGCTGACATCATGTATACTTAATGGGAAGTTTGCAAATCCATTTGTGAAATATAGATGTAACTTATCACGAAATAAAATAAGGCAATAAGCCAGATAACAATGTAAAAACTGAAATGAAGAACTTAGCATTGCTGTTTAACATGCTTATTTTTCACTTGTACTGTTGCTAACAATCTTTTCTTTTCTTAGAAGAGCCAATGGAGCCAACGGAACCTACACCTACTGAGCCTGAGGAGGGACCAAGCAACAGCACTAACCAAAGTTCTAACTTGTTTACGACTCCTACAACAACCTCAACACATAGCATAGCTACTTCAAGCTCTCTTTATTCAGAGCAGTGGAGCACTTCCAGTTTTACTGCTAGTGTTGTCAGTAAAAATACTGAAAATCCTCCTAGAAATTCTCAAGTTCTTACAACTGCAGTTAGTACCTATGGAAATGGAGCGCTGGTACCTACATCAGCAGTTTCAAAACCTTCTACTGGAAATAGCTTGTTTATTGCTACAAGTAAGACACAAGGTTCAGTTGTCATGTCTTCCCAAGCCTCTGTACTCCCGAAAGCTTCTGCAGTTGGAAGCACAAATGCATTGAAAACTTTGCATTTAAGTAACTCTTCTTCAGTTGTCCAGAGAGCTACATCTAGTGCCTTCTTACAGACAGAGAATGCTGTTAGTGCGAGCCAGTCTTCCACAATCATGCCTGATACAACCAAGGCTTTGCCATCACCTTCTTCTATAACATCTAGCTCTGCATTGCAAACTAAAACTTTCTCAAGTATGGATCATTCTTCAACCATCTTGTCTAACATGACATATGTTGTCCAAGGGATAATAACCTCAACCATTTCCCCATCATCATCTGTTTGTATTGAGTGCACTACAGTTTCATGCTCTACTGTAGTTTCAAACTCCACTGTTTTTGGAGTTAGTCCTTCACCATCCTTATCTAGGACTCAAGGAACCACTTTTCGAACGATGACACTATCTTCTAATAGCAGCATTGCAATGGAAAAAACTACAAATTCTAGCAATATTTTAACGCCCACCACTACAGGGATAAATATGACAAGAACGTCTGTGATTAGGACAGCACCATTATCAGTGATCCCCACAAGTTCATGGAATCAGTCTTCGGCCTCTGATTTTATGGCACAGACTTCAACAGTTTCTCCCAGTAGTGCAGGATTATTTTCAAGTGTTTACAGCAAACAGTTGAATTTCACTGCCTCATCGTCTGTGTTGCCTAGAACGTCTTCTATCGTGCTAACAACTCCAACTACCCCACCAGTTCACGGTAAGTAAGCAAATGCAAATAGCCATTACACCTTGTTTTGAGGAATTTTATGAATTTTATATAGTGTGTGTAACCATGTGACTAAAAATCCCTTGAGATGCGAATAACGATGAAACAACCGCCTTGTTGGTTGATCTAACAAGAGAAGCTAATGAGGAACGCTTTTTTATCGTCAATCAAAATGGTGGGTATGACGTCACATGCACATACTCCATTGGCACTTTCTTTCTAAGGTGATCTTTCAGCGGGCTGATAGTGAACCCTCAGTCCTCCCTAATTCAGCACATACAACAAACAACATTGGAGAAAAGTTGACATAGTAGTGCGAGGTCACAGTGAATAAAATTGCTCGGGTGGAAAATCACCCGCACCTTGGTGATTTGGTGATTACAAAGGTGGGTCAATAGACCCATATAACGCTAGTTGACATTACAAGACGTTTGGCATTTTATTAGAAAAAGAAGTTTACTATCAAATTTTTCACATTTTGCAAAGATTGCTCTTAAACTGACGAAAATATGATTTTTTTAAACTAAGTATCTTAATATGTTCAAAGACTTGTAATATCTTATTTCACGCTAACTTGATATAATCCTGACCTGAGTATTCAAATAAAACGGCAACTGTCAATGCCCTCCGTTCATCATAACACTTCATTTGCGAGTCAATTTGATATGTACTAGAATAACGTTACCTTCCTATATCTTTTAGCGCCTTCAGCTCCCCCTCAAGATGTCCAGGCTTATAACACCAGCTCCACCAGTATCAGGGTAACATGGCGACCCCCACCATCAGATACTCTTAATGGCGTTCTTACAAAGTATGAAGTCTTAGTACGAAAACTCGTAAGATCATCAGCATCACAGAGTGCATCTCAAACCAGCTCACCTCGAGTTAGTAGTACATATATAACTGCGTCTTTATCAAGTGGCGTTAGACACACTCTAAGTACTATTAGCGCAACTGGAACTAATCCGTCTTCCTCTACGATTGTTCCTCCCACTGAACCAACGGAGGCCCCTATTGAACCTACATCACCTCCGGAGAGCTTGGTGGCTCCCATCGACGCAGGCTTGAATCTCAGCATAATCGTGAGCAATCTTGAGAAGTTTACATTTTACGAAGTGCGGGTTCGTGCTGTGACTGTTCGACCTGGTCCTTATAGTGCTCCTGTGAATGTTCAAACGGATGAAGATGGTTAGTAATATTAATGTGCAAATGTTAACAAAGGTACTGAAGACGACAAGACCAGCAACAACATCGTCACAAAACAACAACAACAACAAGAGCAACAGCAACAGCACCAACAGAAAACAATAACAGTAAAGAGTGACAGTACCAGTGACGGTGACAGTGACAGTGCCAGTGACAGTGCCAGTGACAGTGACAGTGACAGTGACAGTGACAGTGACAGTGACAGTGCCAGTGCCAGTGACAATAACATTGACAGACAGTGACAGTAATAGTGACAATAGAGCAGTTTTCGTATGACTGTGAAAAGCTCATTGCCGTAAGCGTGACGTGCCGTGACCGTGATGCTTTCTAGAATTTTAATTGGCTGATTTTTTTTCACGCGCAATGTGATTGGTCTGGCATTGCCGTGACCTGGGCGTCACAGTCGCAGTCACAGTCACAGTCACAGTCACAGTTACTGTCACAGTCACAGTCACAGTCACAGTCACATCCACAGTCACATCCACAGTCACAGTCACAGTAACAATCACAGTCACACAGTCACAGTCACACAGTTACACAGTCACAGTCACACAGTCATAGTGGCAGTGACAGTGATAGTGATAGTGACAGTGACAGTGACAGTGACAATAACAGTGACAGTGACAATAACAGTGACAGTAACAGCAACAACAACAACGGAAAAATTACTACGGAAACATTTGCAATGCAAGAAAAAAGATCACAACGTCATCGATGACAACGACAGCAACCATTCCCTATCAACGACCACAATGATATTACATTGAACATACCAGGTACAACGACCACCACCACTACAACAATAACAAAAATAATCACATTCGGAGCCCAGAAAAAGTATTGCTTGACCTTCAAGCTTATACCCGATGTGTTCTCTTCATTAACGTCACTGACCTTTTACTCATAGCCTAGCAGGCCCTTGACCTGGGGAACTGGTGGGGACACCCCTTAGCACCCCTCCCCTCCCCTCTCCGTCGCCCACCCCACGCCCCCAGAATCTGCAAAAAGTCTGCTACGCCGGCTATTTTACTTATTTTTCCTTATGGACAAGACTTTTTACCTACTTGAGTGGTTATGATTTTTTTAGTTCCAAACACTTGTCAGAACATCTCGTTATCCAGTCAGAATTCAACATCAGTGATGGTTCACTGGACAAGGCCTTTACAGACCAATGGCATTCTTTTGGGATACAAGGTATTACATACTATAGCACAGAGTTTAAACATCTCGTTTAAGGAAACAACGTCTGTTGTTAGCAAGCGCAATATTCTTCAGAATTAGAGAGAAAGAATCGAAAGACTCTCCTAGCAGTAGATAAATAATTGATTTACATTTGGTGAGAAGGTTTACAAAAGTTAAAGTTAAATGCTAGGTAACTATGAAAACGCTCAAACGCGTGGTCATTTCTGTCGTTTGCGTGAAGAAAAAACCGGTTAGCTTTAAAATCTGTGTGGTGTTGTTAGAATCTGATCGGGGATAAAAGGTTTGTCATGATATTCCCCTCTTCTAAAAGTGTTAATTTAATGTCTTTAGAACTGGAGACCTCATTTTTTGGCATCCTCCCCTTTTCAATACTTCTTCTATTCTCATCTCCATACCAGAGTCCCTTTTGCAGTCCGCCAAGAAATTCTGGGCGAGTCCAATAGACATTTCCCGAATTCGCTTGACTGGTCACGAAACAATGGTTTTAAGTCGAGGTTGAACTTGATTTATAAAAGATTTCAAACCATTGTTTCATGGTCATCCAAGCGAATGCGGGAAATGTCTATTGAGGGGAACCAGCTTTTTCTAATTCCAGTTTCAGCGTATCGGCGCCCTTTTTACTTTTTTATTAGCCAATCATCCTCGGGAACCCAGAGGCTCACAGATTCGCCCAGAGCCCTTCTTGGCGAAGAGAGACTAAAGGAATAGGGCCTCGGGAAACGCGAGATTACTGTGCCTCTTTCTCATCCTCCCCTTTGCGAGGCTATAGAACTATAGGTACTAAGCTGCAAATCATAATTTAAGAGCCTCATGCTTTTTTCATGAACAGTCAATATTTTACATATTACTTTATTATTGATATTTTTGCCTCCTAATTGTTTCCTTTTAAGATATATTATGGGTTAAATGGTTCAAGATTTTCGACTAAAATGGTTGCAAGTAATGAAGAGGCTTACCTCCTGGAGGGCCTGCTACCGTTTACTCTATACATAATTAGAGTGATGGCCTTTACAAGAAAAGGAGAAGGAGAACCAGTCTCGACCTCCTTTAAGACGCTGGAAGCAGGTACTGAAAAGATCTTGTACTATAAAATGGATGCGTGGGGGTAAAAATATTATTTATCATAGTCACCGTGCACTCTGATTGGCTTGAAACTGTGCTTCCTCAATGAACAGAGCACGAAAATCAAAGTAGAAGAATGTGTTGTTCTCACCTCTAAGTGCATCTTCTACATGCATCCGGCACATAAGATTCCAATGAATAAAGTTTGTTAGGTCTCTCCTTTAATTCGTGAGTTTTTATCCGGGTTTAAGGAAGGATCATAGCATACGATTTTCCTTTTTTGTATTCTGTCTTTCAAATTAAATACCATAGAATCCAGGTGATAAGCCACCTCCATTGAGGCCGAGTGCGACCCCGTAGCACATTAACAATCCTGTCAGACTATAGTTTTTTTTACATGTACATTCATTTTTCAAAGCTTTTACAATTATCGTTGTATAAACGCGTTTGTGCAATTGAACAGGGTATGATATAGTTATATTAGTTATATTAGTTATATTAATAGTTATTATTGTCACTCTGAATTTTAGACGTTTTTAAATCCCTTTTATAACACCCCACCCCTCAGGTTCCCACGTTATAAGCCCCTCTCTTTGTGGGTTCTCCCAAAATCGTTCACGAAATTGTTCTAACCGAGATTTTAAGTCAATTCCTAATCACGTTTCAGCCCCTTCAGCCATTCGAAATCTTACTGGAGTGGCCATCAACTCGACAGCTGTAAATATCTCTTGGACAAGACCAGAGTATCCAAACGGAGAAATCAAATATGTTGTTATGATGACAACTTCAAGCGGAGAAGAATTTTTGCAGTCTGTTAAGATCTACCAAGGGCGCGAGACGTATTGTATAGCTACGGGGCTCAAACCAGTTACCCGTTACCTATTTTCTGTTTCTGCCATGAACGTTAAACATCTATGGCAAAGTACAGTGGTTGATGTAGCGGTGATAACATCAGCAGCAGGTATGATTTCATGCATGAGTGTTTGAATAGTCTCTTTTCTTTGTATACATCTATTCCGAAAATCGTTGTCGCACCAAGAGCCTCAAGTAACGGTACTTTTAATTATAATTTATTTATTCTTGGTTCATGCAAGTGGCTATAGCTCTCCACTAATTATCATCTCAAGCAGCCTTGCTTGGAGCAATTTGTGAAGTCAATAATTGAAAATGCACCATGAATAAACTAATTACAGTTAAAAGTACCGGCGTTCTCTGCGGTCTTGGCTTGAGGCTTTTGGAGCGACAACGATTTCTGAAATAGGTGTATAAAAAGGTCATTGGCGCCAAAGGCGATAGGCGATAAGCCATGGGAGATAGGTCATTCGAAGTTCCAAGAATACCTGGAATGAGTTTCGTTTCGTATTGTTATTCTCATCAAGAACATTGACTTATTGTTAAGATAACCAACGTTGTTCGTAGTCGACGAAAGCACTTTTGAAGGCCTCAATACTCCAGTTTCGAGTTCTCTTTGCTCTGCCTTAGTCTTGGTTGTGCGTTAAAATATCCGGCTATTCAACCAGAACTCGTGACATTTTAATCAACTCTTATTATTCCGTAGTACGTACATTCCCTACTTTACAATGGACCTTAATAAAAGAAAAGAACACATTAGTACACTATCGAGGCTAAGACTGAGCAAAAGTGAACTCGAAATGGGAGTATTATTCGTGTTTAGTTGTATACTCATGTCATTTAGCTCTTATAATTTTTTTTTCGAAATAGATGTATTTTCTTTGTTATTCTACTTATTTTATTTTTCTTTGTTTCTTTTACTCAGAGCCTTCTGGTCCACCGCTGGATATTCAAACCACAGTAAAGAATTCTACATCCATCCTGGTACAGTGGCAGCCACCACTTCCTTCTCTCAGGAATGGGTTGATAAAGAAATATGTCGTTCAATATTCGTCAGATAAAAGTACCTACCTATCCAAAGCCACGCAGGACAATAGCACTCGTCTATTGCTTACATCTCTGTCCCCTTATACAATGTATTACATCAAAGTGCAGGCTGTTAATCTCGCTGGGGCGGGTCCTTTTAGTGAACCTGTGACCAACATGACGTTGGAAGATGGTAAGTTACTTAGTATTCGCGTATCTATGGGATTATTAGAGTAACTGTGTCGTTCTTCCATTGGCAGTTATTTATTACATGCACTAGTTTGTTTGGTGTATTGGGAAGGAAAAGAGAGGTGATTGGTTGTGATGAGTAGGGAGTCTCCACTCCACATGGGAAGCCTTCATACGCCCATGTATGATGAAACTCATGAACAGAAGACGTTGGAACTAAGCCATAATAGATTGCAACTTGTTCGCTATCTTAAAAAAAACCTTTGTCCTCGCAGCAAAAGAGTCCGGTCTAACCAGTTGTGTGCGCATGCGTATCGAACATTCAGACTTTTTTTAATTTGTTATTTTTTATTGAGATTTAAATCTCAAAGCCAGACAAATATTTTCGAACTCGATAACTTCCTCAGACATCTTCAAATTTTCTTTTTCTAGCACCCAGTCCTCCCACAAACATCACGGCCAGAAGTGTCAATGCAACGTGCGTGTTGGTCTCGTGGGGCAAGCCAGTTCATCTGAACGGCGAGACGATCAGCTATGAACTTTACTATAGATTGACGTCTGTTAATGCAAGTCAAGATAGCCTTATCTACGATGGTGAATCCACCATCCATGTGATCTGCGGTCTGCACGAGTATGCCAACTACACTTTCACTTTATATGCTAGTAATGTTAAGTTCGGGTATAAAAGTTCTCCTGTCCTTGCTATGGAAACCACTCACCCAGCTGGTAAGTTGTGTCGTTTTTTTTTATTTAGAGTTGTAAGAATCGTTTTCAGTGCGCATGCGATTTTATCCCAAATTTCTCACCTTCTTTTGTTTAAACCTTCTTTTATTCTTAATTAAACAATAGAAGGTGAGAAATTCGAGATAAAATCCCATGCGCACTGAAAACGATTCTTAAACTATGAACTGGCTTATAGTCCCCTTCACAGTTCCCTGCGCCATCTTGAAAGGTAACAGTGCCTATGTATCGAAGTTGTGACCTTGCAACGATAGAGAACTTGGATGATTATATTTACATGTAAATAAACTAGTGTTACTAACTAGAGCAATTTCCAATTGCTTATAGCGCCGTCAGGCCCTCCACAAAACACTCGTGCAGTTACCATATCATCTCGTTCGATTCTCGTCCAGTGGGAACCACCCAAGGCTCTGGATATGAATGGTATAATCACGAGATACCTTATCAACATGAAACGCCCAGATGGTGCTTATGAAAGTCGCACTTTGAATGGGACCAGTAACTCGTGGGTATTTAAGGGTCTACGACCATACAAAGTGTATGTTTTTACTGTGCAAGCTGTGAATTTGGTTGGCGCAGGCCCTCGAAGCCCTCCTATATCAAACACAACCTACGAAGAAAGTAAGATTATTGATCTTTAATTTTTAATCGCTTGCATATTGGGCGGAGGACAATGATGAAGGGCCTATGTTCCCAAGGGAGGGAAGAGGACTAAGGCTGCATATGAAATGAAATGTCTTTATGTATGCCTGCTGGATAAATTTCTTTTTCTTTTTCTTTTTCTTTTTCTTTTTCTTTTTCTTTTTCTTTTTCTTTTCCCCTTTTTTTTTTTTTTTTTTTTCACTGATAAAACAAAAATGAATTTTAGATTTATAAATTTCAATAGAATACATTTTTATGGATGTTTTTTTAATGTAGTTCCTGATGCACCCATCATTGATCAAGTTACCAACCTAAGCTCCACAGTTTTACAGATCGGCTGGCTCGTTCCTTTAAATCCAAACGGAAAGTTGACTGAGTTTGCTGTTTGTTGGGAACTCCTTGATTGGTCGAGCAAAACGTGTAACGTAACTGATGGTACTACGAGAACTTTCAATATATATGGACTAGGTTAGTAAGATAATATTTCCCTTCCCTTTTCTTTTATTTGATATCCTCTCCTCTCCTGTCCTCTCCTCTCCTGTCCTCTCCTCTCCTCTCCTCTCCTTCCCTTCCCTTTCCTTTATTTATTGCACCTCTCCTATTTATTTATTGATTGATTATTATTACTATAAAATGTACTTCAAAAATTAGTATTATTAAAATAAAACAATGAATTATTTATTACATACATATTTATTATATATTTATTTATTCTAGAACCGTACAGTTTGTATAACATCACCATAAGAGCTGCAACATCCCAAGGTTATGGCCCGTTTGTTTCAGGTTTATACCGCACCATGGAAGGAGGTAAGGTCAAAACTATGACGAATGGTTTGTTCAAGACAGATAATTGATATATAACTAATAATATCTAGCTATACTAAGTAGAGTATAAATATCAGGAATAAGCCTAGAGCGAGTACAAGTATATAGAGGATATTACACGGTGGCGCGAAGATATGAAGTTTATCTTCGAGTGGTAAAAACATTCACTAGTGAACGCAGCGAACGAGTGAAATATCTTTCAACACGAGAAGATGAACTTCATATCTTCAAGCAAACGTGTAATTTTCTTTTTATTATATAGACACATTCACAAATCGATATCTTCACTAATGAGGATACGAAAAATATGTAACTGAAGACACGGATGTAGTTCGTATGAAAAATACAAGTGAGGTATTTTCCAGTAAAACACTCATGCCTATATAATAATATGATTGGTTTTATTTTAGTCCCATCGAAACCACAGAATCTCCATGCATGGAATACAAGTGCTACATCGATATTTGTCACGTGGAAAGCACCAGTAAAGAACAACGGAATCTTAATTTCCTACAAGGTATGGGTCTTCTTCATTTTAACTTGATGATGCTAGTTTGACTGTCTTTATCTTACTTCAAAAGGTTTTTTTCTGGATTTTCTAGTTTTCCTGGCACTATGAAATCCAACAATTTCAAAAAATCCTGTTTGGATTCATTCATTTAAGCCTGGTTTCGATTTAGTCGCTACAATCTCTAAGATTGCCCAAACACGTGTGTCTTTGACGGCAGCTACCGTCAGTCTTGATCCAAGACGTTGTCAATGTAAGGCTTCGTGCGTAATGCTCAGTGATTCGTGACAGGAGAAAAGATATAATAAATATGATGATATAAAAAATGCTATCTAATAGCCCTCTTCCGAGATTTGCGTCGCTTGTCATGCGCAAAGGTTTCAATGTGAGGCTTTGTGTATGACGCTCAGTTATTTGTGACATTAAAAAGGAATTTTAAATTAAAATTGATTTAGCGCGTGGCCTAAAGCGAAGCATGTCTCGGAAGTGGGCAATTGGCGTTGCAAAAATGTTCAAAATAGTCAGTCTTTGTAAAAAGGCAAATAAGGAAAGTAATTATATCAAATCGAAGATAATATCATTCTTTGCATTTTACGTTAGGTTTCCTACAGGCCAAGTCAAAATTCGTCTGTTCCTGACAGCGCGGATTTTGGGCTGTCCACCAATTTTACTTTAAGAAACTTGAAAGCTTTTACATTTTATTGTGTTTGTGTACAAGCCACAACTAGTCAAGGGCTTGGAGATAAAGCATGTGGATCTTTTAGTACTGATGAGGGTGGTAAGTAGTGTTTCAGTGCTTATTAAACCCCATCCATCCATCCATCCAGCCCAGCCCAGCCCAGCCCAGCCCAGCCCCCTTGATCCATACCATCACATTCATCATCTAATCCTTCCAATCAATGTCTTTTAGTTCTCTTCTTGATCCATACCATCACATTCATCATCTAATCCTTCAAATAAATATCTTCTAGTTCCTGGAGCAGTCTCATCGTTCAGTGCCCAGGCAGATTCTTCTTCTTCAATCCACTTAACCTGGAGCGCGCCAAGTCATCCTAATGGGAAGATCGGTTACACCTTGTACTATTACTCAACGATCAACCCTGAACTGAATGACACAATAGGATTTCTTAGTGATCACCTATCTTACTATGTCAATGGGTTGGAGCCCTATACAAACTACACCTTTGGCATCACTGCTTATAACCTGAAGAAAGGTTTAGAAGGTCCTGCGCGTCTTGTTGTAGCAAAGACCAAACCTGCTCGTAAGTGAGATTTTATATCCCCCTTTTTCTTTGATGGCGAGGTCGGTTATTGAACGATGCTATTGACCCACCTCACCACCGTGGTCAGGATTTAGATATCTGATCTGCCATCATTTGTGAGTATAGTGGCTTATTGGTTTTCTCCTGTGCTTTGGGAGATTTTCTCTGAACTTTCAGGTTTTCCTCCCAATGTAAAATTCAACTGTAAATTTCCAATTTCCATTGACCTACAATGCTTAAACTTGAGCCTCTGGCTCGAGAGACTTAGCAATCACTCCCTGTTCTTGGACAAAAGATTCGATAGAGGTTTTGCACGTGCCCACGCCCATAATACAGCTTGGGCTGCCTGTGGTTGGACTACAGAACAATAAAATCCCTTTGCTCTCGAGAATGCTTTCTCATGTAAGACAATAGGCCTTTCCCGAATTCGCTTGACTGATCACGAAACAATGGTTTGAAGTCGAGGTTGAACTTGATGAATAAAAGAATCAAGTTGAGTCTCGACTTCAAACCATTGTTTCGTGGTCAGTCAAGCGAATTCGGGAAAGGTCTATTTGTATGTCCCTGCCACCTAACATGGCTGGCGCCACGTGATAGTAAAAACCTTTTTTTTTCTTTCGCTTAATGTTCTTACAATTTTTTTTTTTTTTTTTTCCTATCCATTTTTATTCTGTGTTCATGATTTCCATTGCCCTTTCAGCATTCTAGCTCTCTGAAAATCAATGTTCCATTTTTGTTTCAATTTTTAGTTCCAGAAGGTCCTCCTTTAAATGTCAGAGTTGTCAATTCTACAGATGAGTCGTTAACCATCTCGTGGGATCCCCCCGCTAAGCCTAACGGACCAATAAAAGGCTACCGTCTAATGATTAACGATGTAAAAACACCCAATGAGAAAGATTACCCAGAAGTTGATGATAAAATGTACACCATAAAGTCACTCAAAGCTTCGCATCAGTATGCTATTAAAATTGGTTCCATTCCCGCTTGGGGCGTGCAAACTGGACCCTGGACAGATAAATACATCTTTACAACGCAACCTTCAGGTAAAATATATATAAATACTTCAAATTCGCCGGTAACACAAGGAGCAGGATAATTGGAGCCGTTGGTTGTCAAGCTCTTGCCAGCCAAACATTTTCACATTTTCAGTGATGACGGCCTTATTGAAACAATGGGTCCATTGGCAACGCAAAATGTATATCTTTTCGGTGTTTATCTTTCAGCCCCTCCTGCATTGCGGCCCATCAAGCCTCCAGACAAAGACATGATCACATCAAACGAGATCGTCATAGAGTTGCAAAAAGCATCGAATGAAAATGGAAAAATAAAGTATGTTAAGAACTAG